GAGATCAGGAGATCCCTGTCTGAGAAGTCTCCCTCTGCTCAGGTAACCCCACTGGATGGGAATAAAAGGGGCTGGACCGAGAGCTTTTTAACACTGTTCCGTGGCTCAGAAGCAAAAGCTGCTTCAGTTGAATGTGTCTCTCTCTCTTAATGTGCAGACCCAGTGCCTGCAGTACATTTATGCTTGAGGAAGGGCAGACTCAAGGTGGGGAGTGGGATTTTTTGGATTTACCATTATCTTATGCTCAAATGGGATGTCTTTTGTGATGATGTAAATTCACACATAGCAGTGTTCAAAACATTTTATTCCACAATAATAGGAAACATGGCAGGCTCTGAACCATTTAGGATTCTGATGGATGGGCTACTGCAGAAGGGATGCATATTCTGCAACTGGTCCTAGTAAGAATATCTTTCTGTCTGAGCAACATTTGCAGGTGCTTAATCTTGAGCATTTACTTCCTTGGTGGAATAGAAGTATTTGGTTGTCTTTTGAGTGGTTTGGTTTTTGGGTTTTTTTTGCTACTCTCTAGACTCAGAGATTTTTGCCAGTGGAAAATTTGATTCTGGAAATACCCTAGGTCCATAAACGTTTGCCGGGGTCATACATATGGGGCAGCAGCAGCAGAGGGCTCCAAAGAGCACCACCTTGTGATGGATTGTCTGAGCGCTTGGGTGGGGTAGTGAGACTCCCAGCCAGAAATGTGTGCTTTGTGTGTGGCTTTGCAGCACACAGCCCTGGGCAGTGCTGGGAGCAAGCTCTGCCCTTACTGACAGCTGTGTTGGCAACAAGGAGAGCCCCTGGCTTTCAAAAGATTTATCATGTGAACTGTGTGCTGAGTGTTCCTCCCCAGCCTCTGCTCCACGTCCTTTGGGAGTGGAGAAGGGTTATTGTAGCCCTGATGTGATTCCAAGAAAATATTGAGTGATCTTTGGGTTTCTTTCTTTCTGCTTTTCTTTCAAGGGGAATATTCATGTTGCCTCTGAGTCCTCAGGAAGGGAACCCATGAACGAGGCTGCAGCAGAGGAAGATTCATCTGGCACCAAGAACTGCGATGACAGTTGCCCAGAGCCTGAGGAGCCTGGTAAGGAGAGAGCCCACATTGGTTTGAGCCCCATTGGCCCATGGCTGCTTTGAGCCTGTCCCTGACAGGAAGGGAGATCAGAAGAGCTGAGTTCTTGTCGGCAGGGTCCGTGCTTCCTGGTGCCTTTAGTTCAAGTCCTGCACTGGCACAAGTTCCCCGAGCCCTGCCCTCCACACTTTTCCAGAGGCTCTGACACTGAGTCCTGTGCTGTGACAAGAGAGCCAAGAATAAACCTGACCTTGTGGGAGCTGCGTCACCAAGCTGGGTGTCCCAGTTTTGTGCTGAAGCCCATGGATCAATTTTCTGCAGGGTGACAGGGGAAGCTGGGCTGAGCACTTCTTGAAGGAACAGGGGGGAAAAAAAGAGTGCAAAATGAGGGCAGAAGTCGAAATCGCTGACTGTAGTACCAGTTTGCTGGAATCTGTCCTGAGACACAAGAGAAACAAAGAGAGCAGAACATCAGAGGCCAATTAATTGAAAAATGACAAATCTGGTAACACAAGGAAAAGCCTGAGTGACCCCAGATTAGTGAGACTAAGAGGAGAGAGGAAGCCCTTTGGATCCAATCCTTGGCCAAGTCGGTGCAGCCTGCAGGCCTTGTAGGGAGCTCTTTCCCTACCAGCTTGTCCTGTCAGAGCTGATGGTCAAGTTGGAGCAGGTACTGCTCACTGTAGAGGGCAGTTTGTAGATCTGACATCACGGAGCTGGTTCATGATTCAGCTCACAGCACCCTTCAGCCTCAGCCACTGCAGCGTGGCCTGAGGTCTTTCTGTCAGCACGGAGGAAAAAAACAAGTCAGGGCTTCTTTGTGGGAGAGGGGACCGTCTTCTGTTTCAGGCTCTCGTGGGTGCCATTTGCACTGTGGGTGCCGAGACTTTATTGAGATACTTGAACGCTTCACACAGTTTTGGAAACTTGGAAGGATCCCTGTTCTTTAAAGAGCAGGCTTCAAATTCCCAAGGGAGAGTCTGCCTTTCAGACCATCTTCTCCAGTCCCTGACAGGACAATTGCTGCCCAAGGCAAACAGGGCCCCAGCCACAGGAGCCAGTATTGACTCAGTGTTCCCTTTGCTTCCCAGATGCCATCTGAGGGATG